ATTTTAAAATATTTGTTGATTCTCGCCCTTTTCCATCTTTTCCACTGGTTCTCTTTTCCTCTCATTTTCCCACTCCACTGCTATTACTTTCGCGTCGGTTAAATTTTTGCATCTTCAGGATAAAACCAAGTGACTTTTTGCTAGTATAATTTTAAAATTTGCGGAAATACTATTAGTGTTTCAAGCTGACATGTGTAAATGTAGAATTTACAGCCATCCAGCCCCCTATACTCTTCCTGAAACGACAACTGTTGCTCACCTCACTGCGGCCCCCAACCTCATCAAAGCTAACTGCTGACCCTCATCCATCTTATCATTTCGATTCGAAATCATTTTACACAGACATTTACATCGTTTTCTCTTGTTTCCCACTGGTACATACATACAAATACACACATACATACATACAAATACACACATACATACATACATACATACACGCACACATTACGATTCATCTTGAAGATATGTGAACATCACCACTGTTGCAAAGAATAATTGGTCGAAGCCAAAAGTCAAAATCACCTCTGTATTCACCGTCTATGAAAAGCTAAAGCACTCGGAAATAGCACGAGCAATTCAAAATGCCACAAAACGTACTCACTGTGCCATGCTCACTGACGAGTAATTGATAGGATTCGAAATTAGAAGCATAATTCAAATGATTCTACCACTACAACAAGACCGTCCATACCCCGAGAGGGAAGGTTTTACTGAGGTGATTTCGAATCGCGAGATGGATAACTTCGAAAATTCATTTCCATCTTCCTCTGTACTCGTTTGCCATTTATATATATTATACCGGTTTTGTCGAAATAATTCACTTCTCTATCCACCATTCGTCAAAGTCACGAATTAAAACCTTCTTTATGTCCCGCTCTGGAAGCACTCGTAAATAATCAGAGTGATAGCACAATGCCAAGAGCATCCATCCCATGCTAAGACTATCAGTAACCCTCTTTCCTGAACGTTGATTAAAAGCAAATTTGATAGCATTTTTGTCACTCTTTTAGCCGACATGTTCAGCACCAAAAGCCACCTAAATGAAATAAAATGTCAGAGAGGGACAATTTTAGCAGCGGCTGAACAAACCGAAAGCAATGCTTGATTTGTTGATGCATTTATTAAGACTCAAAAATAAATCGTATTGCGTTTAAAAAGTTCGTGAAAACGAATCACCTATTTAAGAAAAAGCGATTTTCAAAAAATGATAAATATTGACTTCTAATCTCACATGAATCCTTGACAATCTGAACTCATTCCCAGTGTTAGCGACAGAAGCCCGCCCACTGATTCCTTTTTATCATCAAATCCGAAAGCGCTTGAAAACAAACACTGTGGATTAAATTATCATAAGATTTCTGTGGCTATAAGTGATTTCTCTTCGAATAATTTTTAACCTGGTTCTATAAATTAATAGACTGCACTCTTCTGTGTACGAGAGCTAAAACTTTTTGCCAGGTAAAATCCCAAACTAGCATCTAATTTTTGTGCTTAATTTCATGCGCTAAATAGATTAGCCATACTCCGCCCCTTCCATACTGCTCCTCTCTCAAGTGGTCGCAGCTGAGATCTGATGCTGATTTTCATCGAGTTCGTGATGGATGGGGCTCCATGAGCAGGGACGGATAGGTCAGTGTCTGTATTGTGTGTGCAGTGAACTGTGCATGACATCGAGAAGAGATTATTAATGATGATAAATAACAGTCCAGGAATGGACACCGCCGAAGACAGAGTGCTGTAATGAGAAGTGACCA